AAAAAAATAGTTTTTAGAAAGAAGGTAGAGAGAGATAGGGAGAGAAAGAGAGTGAATAGGGGGTTAGAGGTTAGATATTTAATTTTGTTGTTTTTTTAGGTTATCTAGTGCAATTTCTCTAAAACTTAAAGCTCTAATTTGTTTTACACAATAAAACACTATTTCCCTTCAAAACATTAATCTCCTTTTTAACAACAAAAAAAAAGTATTAATCTAGATTTGCAAAAGTCACTATCATCCATATGGTTCTTTGTTTAATTTCTTCACCGTATTATTTACACTTAAATACTTAAACTCTTATTGATTCACTAAATTATAATAGCCGACAAAACCAAAAAGAGGCAAAAAAAAAAACAGAGAGAGACCTGCGATAGGAGACGGGGACAATGCCGGCACGGTACAAACCGATCTTGAGGAACATAGGCATGGCGAGATCAAAATGCTCTCGCGGCGGATTACACCATCCTCCGTCGTCACTCGGCTGAGCGAAATTCGGTGGACAAAAGTTTGTCGCCGTCACAAGAATAGACGGATTTCCCGGAACACACCATCTCGGGTCATCAGTACACTTAATCTCAAAACAAGCACCGCAGCTGAATCCGTTGTTGAACAGAGCAGTGCTCAACGCCGCCGTGTTCACACCGTATCCTTGGCTGTACAAGTTCCCGTACCCACACGCGCCGCCTAGCAAAACCCACGCGCCAAAAACAAAAACAGAGAGAACAAAAAAGAGTTAGAAACTTCTCAAAAAAAAACAAGAAGTTAGAAATCATAATTCATGGTTATACACGAAATGAAATCAACAATGGTGGATTTGGTAGGGAAGTGAATATATATACCCATTGTGCCGGAGGCGTCACTACCACCGTAGAAAGTGGCGTGTGCGTTCTGCCACGGGCCGCCGCTGTAAACGCCGGGGATTTTGGCGTTTGAAGCGGTGAAGAGAAAGGAAGCCGTAACGGCCAACCACAAGCCGATTCCAAACGCAGTCGCCGTCATTATGAAAGAGAGAGAGAGAGAGAGAGAGAGAGAGAGATGTGTATTGGATAGGCTGAGAGAAAGCGGGAAGGACTACGGGTATTTATGGGGACTGTGGGACTGATGCTGGTTGCCTTTTTTAACCTCACGGTAAAAATGTTGGTGCTTTTCTAGATTTACAGGGTTTTGAGGGAATTAATTGCTGCCCATTTCATTGGTTTGATTGATGGGCTTTCACTTTTTGAGACTAAACCGTTGGTGACATTGTGTTCATGTACCAAAATCAAATCTAGTGCAGCTGAATATAGTAAACCGTTTTTTACTGGAATATACTATATATTTATCCGAAGCCAAACCGATTTCAACCCAAAATTCAATTTTGGTATTCATAGTTGAATTTCTACAGAAGCTCGAATTTCTTAAAACCGATTCAAACCAAAATTAAATGCGAAACACAATCACGTATGACGTATGTTTGTCTTTCTTT